TTGAAAATCATTAACAGAAATCAGTACGGTTTTATTAGGCACAGGACAATTCAGGACTGGCTGGCCTGGAGTTTTGAATACATACACCAATGTCAGCAGTCAAAGAAGGAGATTGTAATTGTAAAGCTGGATTTTGCAAAAGCATTTGACACGGTGAGCACTCAGCAATCCTAGAAATGCTTGCTACGATGGGTTTTCCCTCTTGCTGGATCAGTTCGGTACAAGCTATCTTATTCTCTGGTACCGCGTCGGTTCTGCTGAATGGAGTTCCGGGGAAAAACTTTAGTTGCAAAAGAGGTGTAAGGCAGGGCGGCCCTCTTTCGCCTTTACTGTTTGTTCTTGCTGCTGAGATTCTTCAGTACATCATCAATGGCTTAAAAGATAGAGGGATTTTGAAGCTTCCCATCCCGTAGCCAGGCTCTGATTTCCCGATAGTACAATACGCGGATGACACCTTGCTAGTAATGCAAGCTGACGCCAGGCAGCTTTTCTGTCTCAAAGCCATACTCAATTCATTTGCTTCTTCCACAGGATTGGTAGTGAACTTCAGTAAATCTCTTATTGTGCCAATAAATGTCTCTAGTGAGAAAATGAATATTCTTGCTGGTACTCTGGGATGTCAAATTGGAGCTTTTCCTTTCACCTATCTGGGTTTACCCCTGGGGACAACCAAGCCAAAGATTGAAGAGTTTGCTCCACTTTTGGACAAAGTTGAAAGCAAATTATCTACATGTTCAACTCTTCTTTCATACTCATGTAGAGTAGAATATATCAACACTGTACTCCCACTCCCACGGTCACGTATGCTATGAGTACCTTCAAACTGCATAAAGGAGTGATCCATAGTGTGGATAGGATAAGAAAGCAATGTCTCTCGAGAGGAAATTCAGAGAAAAAGCGAGGTGGAAATTTGGTTGCATGGCCACTGGCCCAAAGGCCGAAGCACAAAGGAGGACTCGGCCTCAAAAATTTATGCCTGCAAAATGATGCCTTGCTTCTGAAACAGTTGCATAAGTTTTATTCCAAAGCAGATATCCCCTGGGTTCAGCAAGTTTGGTATAAGCATTATAATAACAGGGTGCCTCATGTTCATAGAGAAGTTGGCTCCTTTTGGTGGAAGGACGTTTTTAGGCTCAAGGATCTCTATGGCTTCATCACCACCAGCTTGGGGATGGGTCTTCGGTCCTATTTTGGAAGGACAATTGGGCAGGAGAATGTCTTGATGAATTGCTTCCTAACATTGCTCATTTTGCTATGTACCCAGACATGCCTGTGAAAGAAGTGAGTGCAGCCAGTAGCCTGGATGATCTTTTTGATATCCCCATTTCTCAGGCAGCTGCTCTGGAGCTCGATGATTTGAGAAATCTAGTCCAAGCTTTTGTGTTGTCGGATGAGCCTGACCAAAGGATCTTCTGTTGGGGAAATGGTACGTATACTGCTGCTAAGCTATACAAGTTGGCCTTCCTGAATGTACAGACGCCGGCTGTTTTTCGCATGGTTTGGAAATCCAAGGTGATCCCTAGAGTCAAATTCTTGGCCTGGTTAATACTTCTGGACAGACTGAACACGAAGAGTATGCTTGCAAGAAGAAACTTTAATGTTCAACCTAATTGCTTATGTGTGCTGTGTAATGATGGGGTTGAGGAGACCATCGATCATCTGTTCTTTGAATGTGACTTTGCCAAGAAATGCTGGGATAAGCTTGGGATTCAATGGGTCAATGATGATGATATCCACAGAAAGATTGAGCGTAGTAACCAGCTGGCTGGTCTACCTTCCTTTTTTTCATGGAGATTTTTCTCATTGCTGCCTGGGAGCTCTGGAAAATCAGGAATAGGCTGGTTTTTAATGGAATTTAAGTTTGCTTCAACAGATGGCTTGCAAACTTCAAGGAGGAAGCTGCTCTTCAATCTCCCCATAGGAGATTCAGATAGAGTTTTAGTCAGTCTCTGGCTAGATGCTTTGTAAATTCTTTTTGTCTTGCTCTCAGTCCTGTGTTGTTCCCTTGAGTCTGTACAGCTCTGTAGTCTCCCCCTTCTTCTTCCTTCCCTCCTCCCCTCTTTTGTAAGTATCTCCTAAACTTTTGTTGTTGGCCTCTTTTATAAAAGTTTTAAAATCACCGTGGGGAACTCCCCCATGGTTTTTCCGTCAAAAAACAAACAATCGAAGTAAGGGCAAGTAGCATCAAGCAGAGCCCAGAGTCCCTTGTGAGTTCACTCTGCAAGCTACCTTGCACATTCATGGAGCCTACAAATTTATATGTTTTAGTATGATTATCCTATACAACAACAAATGACTAGATGAAATCAAAGGAATATGAAATTTACTTATTCTCCATGGACATGATCACCTATTGTGTCCCTCTTTGCGGCATATGGTGCATTTGTTTTTCCATGATTGATGAAATGATTTAATCCTTTGGCTATCGATGTTCTGATTACCTGCACATTTTCCACTTTTCCTAGATGCACCTTTTCCACTTTTTCTAGGTGCACATTTGTTGATGTTAGAATATTAAGAGTTGTAGTCTCTTTACTTACAGTTTTGCTATCCTATCTCTTTGTATCCCCATGTAATCTCTATATAAACCCACTTATGATTAATGGAAATTGAGTTGAGTTTATCATCCAATAGTAGACAACAAGTGGATTGTGGACTGAGCCCATAGTAAATTTAAATGATTCATTGTGTACCGGTTGGCGATCAATCCCACTATAGTCAGATCTGTACTTCTTTGATATGATGCCCCCAAATAATCCTTGACCTTACTGAACTCATCTAAGTTATTTGAGGCAACATCAAATGCTTCTACCCCTAGTATAGTAAGATTGCTGTATCTTTGATCGCTTTGTTGTCCAACCATATATATTATTACTTTCACGGCTTGAAGGAAGGACACCCTTTCCAAGTTTCGAGTGTCTCTGTAGAATGGGAGCACAAGCATGAAACAAACCAGCCAAGCCGCGGGGAGGAGGATGCGGCGTGGCCGTCCGGCGGAGGTAGCGTCTTCTGCTGGATGGAAAGCGCCGCCACCGTCCGCCATCCCGTTCCGAGTGTACGCCAAATGACCGATGACTGTAGATCGAGAGGAAGAGGAGAAATGACTCTGGGCTGAGTGGGCAGCGGCTGGGCTTGGGTTGGGCACCGATAAGGTTGGCCCAGTGCAGATCCAAAACGAAATTAATTTTAATTAATTATCCAAATGCTTTAAGATCTGTGCAACTTTTTTTAAAGAGGACCATTGGAGCAAAACTCATAACACTACCCCGCTTGATCCTTGGAATTGAATTTATTTTAATAATTATAATTTAGACACAGATTAATTAAGTTAATATAGTTATATATGGAATATATTTGTATGCTATTGTTAGCCACATAAGGGAGATACTTATATATTGCATTTCTAGTGTAGGGAAGTGAGTTCAAGAGCGTGCTATAAGTTGCAGAGTAAGAGCGCGCTATAAGTTGCAGAGTAGAAATACAGCATGATGATCTATAAAATCAGTTTTCATCTCACACCCTATGAATTTGAGATAGGCTTATGGGATCCCTAGGCTTATACATGAACTTGGAAAAGTTGTGGAATATCAAATTCCAAACCAAATAGCATAATCCATTAAATATATTTCAGTTCCTTCAAAATGATATGTGCTAATGGTATAGGGTCAGAGCAGAATCAGACCGATGCAAATTTAAATAGAAACATAATATGTGCTTATATACAAAAAGTTATGCTAATGAACAAGTCATGGAATAAAACTATAAAATGTCAACTCGTGTTGTATGTTTTTGACTAGAGCCTATGTAACCAGATAAACAAAACTCATATAACAACAAAATCATATTAAGTGCTAAAACAATAGTAATTACTACCTTCATTCTCTTTTATAAGACGCACACGCATATAAAGATTTAAACTTTAAAATCTTTGATCAATAATTTATAGATGGTCAAAGTATAATTTAGGAGACCGTATCATGTCAAGCCGTGCCTTATAAAAGAGAATAGAGGGAGTAACAAATTGCGACCCTATCAAACCTCCATATTTATTATACACGAAATTATTACCGATTTGTAGTTTTCAGAAAGTGTTGGCCTTTAACTAGTGGGATGATCCTGTTGTACGGCTCGCGTAATCCACTTTTAGTTATCATCAGATAATTCGTATTCATTAGATTTTGTCAATATCATATTCTACCTCGCATCAACATACAATTGGATGTGAATTATCTATATCCACGTAGATATATAAAATTCTTCTCCAGTTCTCCATACCCCGAATAACATATTTTACCACACATCAACATACAATCAGATATGGATTATCTATATCCACATGAATATATAAAATTCTTCTCCACACCATTAATGTTCGCATTTAGGCTAGAAAAGAAAATTCTACAAGTTGTTTTCGTCCTAACAAACACACCTGACACTACAACTTTATCTCTACTCCCTCTATCCCTTTTTAAGTGTCATCTAGATTTTCGCACTAACCAAACTTTATCAAATTTGATTAGATTTATAGAAAATGTTAGTAAGATCTTATCTCAAATAAGTCTATTGTAAAAATATATTTAATAAGTAATTAATGATATTTATTACGTACTATAAATATTATAGGAATTTTTTATACATATTTGGTTACATTGGGGTATATTTAACTCCTTGATATACGAAAATGACATTAAAAAAGGACAGAGGGGTATGTCAGATCCAGTATCCTTTGAACGCACTTGTCGACCAAGAAAATCAATACAAAAAATAGTGGTAAAGTGAAAAGAAACTTTTTACATTCGTGAAAACTTATCATAAAGCTTTGTAGCAGAATAAGCAACGCGATTCAGTGGACAACTGGACATGTGCCCTGCTTAGACATTGTGGCGGATCTGGAATAATGAATAATGTAGACTTTAATTTGCTTATTAAAACTTCAGTTTGAAGAACAAGTTCAGTACCACACTTCTACGAGAAAAAAAAATCATATTTAGACAAGACCACTATTTATTTATCAATGAGAGAAACTTGCCCACAACTTCAATCTTCAATGACGGCTTGGATGCTATGAAGGCCACGACGCGGTCCATGAGCTGCTTGGCGTTCTCGCACTCGGGCTTCGGGAGGAAGAAGACGTGCTCCTCTCCCTCGGACTCGAGCCACGCCACGTCCCCGGGCCACGCGCTGGCCGCCACGGCTTCGTAGTACGCGCGGTCCCTCACGTAGAGCGCGTCCTGCTTCCCTGCGCACACCAGCATCCTCGCGCACCCGAGCTTCTCCAGCGCCGGCGCCCCCGGCGCCAGAGGGTTCATCCTCGGGTCGTCGGCGCCGTCGACCGCCCCCGGGCACGCGTAAGTCCAGAGCCCAGTGGTGGCCGCTGCAGCGCCCTCGTGCTCCCCCTCGATGGGCGCGTTCCCGCCGAACCACGGGTGGAGCAGGATGGCGCCCTCGATGCCCGGCCCGCCGTCGCCGGACCCGGACGCCCTCATCAGCATGTCGTGCACGATGTTTGCGCCGGCGCTGTCGCCGGCGAGGAAGAGCCGCGCCATGTCGCCGTGCTCGGCGATCCACTCGTCCTGCGCCGACGCCGCCCACTGGAGCGCCGCCCACGAGTCCTCGTAGGCCGCCGGGAGCGGGTGCTCCGGTGCCAGGCGGTAGCTCATGGACACCACCAGGACGCCCGCGGCGGCTGCGAGGGGGTTGACGTAGGTGTGGTACGTGGCGGAGCCGGCCGACTCGAGGAGGAACGCGCCGCCGTGGAAGTAGACGAGGACCGGGAGCTTCTTGGATGGTTCCTGGAGCTTGGGGAGGTAGAGGCGTACGGAAAGGCCGGTGTCAGCGTCCAGGGCAACGTCCTTGGAGGTGACACCGGTGGCCTCGTCGAGGCCGGCCGGAAGGACAGGAGGCCGGTTCAGGCGCTCGATCCTCCCGCTCTTGTAGATGCGGAAATGCGCCGGGGACTCGAACGCCACCTCGTCTGCGCCGGGCTCCATGGCCGTGGAGGGAGGTGATGGTGTGACCTTGGTGGAAAAATTGGCAGACTTCTTATGATAAGATGGGTTTTTCTGAGATGGAAAGTTTATTCCGTTAGCTACCGACCCCGGCCAAATCGCTGGACTCCATGGAGTAGACAAAATCTGGGGCCCGGTCCTACCACAGCACGGGATCTTGTGACAGAGAGCACGCCTCATGTTCCTCAGCAGTTTTTGCATCAACGAGCGATACATGAAACATCAACACCCGAATGCCACAGCACCCGGGCTTGGCATAGATCACGACCCACAAACCTTCGGCTCCGACCACGCCACTGGAATAGTGATAAGGTGTGCGATGAGCTCAGCCACTCTTTGAGGGAGTGAAACGTGACCACACGTGTTTCAGGCCATTGGATGCTAGCACCTCTCATTCTCAGAACTTCCGTCACTAAATAACTGGTACGCCATTAATATGATGCTGAAACTTAATATTATTTTATTTAGCATCTTAACGTCTTTAAATAAAAAAACTCAAAAAAAAATTTATCAAGATTAGAGATCTACAATTTTTATATAAAAATCATATTTATCCGACGTCGCACGGGAAAGATATGATTTTTCTAAGGTAAAACCTTGCCATAGGGGTATTTTGGTAAAAAAATACTTAACAAAATCCTAACCGAACATACTCTAAAATCTGACGGAAATGCTAGATAATAAAATCTGACGGAAATGCTAGATAAGAGAAAAAAAAGCTTGAATCGGTGCTAGATCGGGAAGAAAAAAATTCAGTGCTAGAGGAGGGAGAGGAAGTTTTATAGTGTTAGAGGGAATTTTCTCAATAAGGAATTGTTGGAGAGAGTTCTTTTACGTCTCGCCAAAAAAATAAGACCGGAAGTGGACTTTGAAAACTTTTAGAGATGCTCTTACAATGATAGACTACTTTAGTAATTACTGGAGTTGCCACTTTGCACCATCTACTTAGGGCATAAACGATGCCCTCGCTAAAGATCGAATCTGCCTTGGGAGTAAGGGACTGTTTGATTATTTTGGTTCTTTAGCGTAAACTCTCGAAATCACAATGGAGAATCACTTCACAGAATAAGGAGAAGCTACTTTTTCAACTCCATGCCTCTTAGTTTATCAGAGAATCACTTGAGCTTGTGATAGAACCACCCAAATTATGATGGCCCACATGCACCCATCATTGTCCTAAAGACCTCTGACTGTTGTACACGAAAGCCAGATAATCCAGTAGTATGTTGGGTGTCCTTGGGGAACCCCGAATCATCCACATTTTACGACTCATATAGGATCAATAATGGAGTTACCACAACATTACAACATTGATACAAAAATTTCATACAACGGAGTTGCGGAAGACTTATAACATTAGTTTACAAAACATGTTTAAGTAAAACTTAACTTTATTTTTTTTTCTCAAACGTACCTCAGGCACGAATTTCATTAAGAAGAAGCAGAGTTTTTTATTAAAAGGACTGCCCGGTAATCCTAGAATTACCAGCGCAATCCCACAAGCACAAACGATACAACAAGAAAGCACGGGGAGGGCTCCACCACCAAACCCTTACAGATTGAGCCTATTACAGGAAGACAAAAACACATTGGTAGCCTAAGGTGTAGTGTAGCCGCGATAGCCAGCATCCACCAAGGAGGCCAAGGGAGCCGGCACGACAACAGCGGCAAAGCATCCGCACGAGAAACGACCACAGCGGCCAAGCATCCGCCGAAAAAGGACCATTACGGCAAAGCATCCGTAATGAGGGCCATCACACGCTCTGCAGCTGAATGAGCGTGGACACCGAAGCGACGAGGTGGCTAAGCATCCACCCAAGCAGCAACAGCGGCAAAGCATCTGCCAAAGAACCGAACGACAGCGGCAACAACAAACACCGAAGAACAAACCAATGCGAAGATAGAGTTGAAGCATAGATAGGCATAGCAGAGCAGGCAACAACACCGACGATCGACGCGTGGGTAAGAGAGTTGTGGCAGCTGGAGTGCCCCAAATGAAGCCTTCAAGAAGGGGATGACATCCGCGGATGCCAACAACGTTCGGAGAAGCACAGGTAGGATTTTCATCCATAGGATGAACAGAGCTTCGGCGACACCTTCAAGAAGGTAGGTGACGCGTGCTGCGCCAACGCCGCCGGCCCAGATGAACACCCTAGCAGCAGAAACCATGGGCCGGCCAGCCGGTAGCAGGCCACTGCTACCTAGCTATCGAGCCAGCCGCCCCAAGCCATGGTCGGGCCGATCCGGCCGCCACAAGCCTCGGATGGACAGCTAGCCGCCGTCCGCAGCGACGCAGGAAGCCAGGCCACAAGACCGCTCGTCCCATGCCGCAGCGGCAGTGGAGAAGTAGCAGCATCCCGTGTCCACCGCCCTGACCCCAATGAGCCAAGCACGCGCCGGACGCAGATCCGAGGAGGAGAAGGCCAGATCCAGCCCCGAGGAGCCCGGATCTGACCCACCGGCCGGCGAGCTCACCGGAGAACCACCGGGAAAGGGTTTGGAGGTGGAGGAGTGAGGGGGCGGGGGAGGAAATGGCTGCGGCGGGCACCACTTTTCAGGCCGCCATGGGCTGCCGCCGCCACACACCAGAGGGCAGCGACGACGGCCGAATGGAAGACGGGGAGGGGGAGGCCCTAGGGGCGCCGAGGTGGTCGCCCCCGAGTCGCCCTTGGGGAGCGCTAAAAAACTTAACTTTAGATTCAAAAGGTGAATAGGACAGTGGAAGCAAATTAGAAGAAGCACCTAAGGTAGAAGAGACATCCAGATCATGTCGAGCCCACCGACATGACCTTGATTACCAGCACAAGTCAGAACCTGCAACAGGGGTTAACAAACCCTGAGTACTTGAGGGTACTCAACAAGACTTACCCGACTAAAAGAAAAGACTCAAGGGTATGAAGGCTTAAAGAAAAGTCTGAAGCAAGGAGTAACTTTTGCAGAAAAGCTTACTATCAGTGGATCCTTACTTTCAATATTTAGCTTTGTATTAAGTGTATCCATAGTATCTAGTTTGCACCTGCTCTAGATCAAACACTTTATAAATCATTTCAACATGTGATCATAAGTACCAATGTTTCATTAATTAAACTACAATATAGATCGGGGAATCGAGTCTCCTCCGAGAAACAACGGCGATTCGAATCGATTAAAACCCAGCTGGGGATTCCCAACCACACGACATATGCAAGTCTCGGACCTACATATATCAACCATTCCCACGGATCGTCCAAAACATGAACTGGATCGCACCACCCAGGAGCACAGTACTCCACCGCCCTGCTCTATCCCAGACGGTTATCTTGCAGGGTGGGTACACGCTACTCCCGCCATCTCTCCATTCCCAGTGTGCGTTATCAGTTCGCATAACGAAATAGCCGAGGTACTCAGGCTTACCGGAGTATGTGGCTAGTACTACAAAGTCTCGACTCACACAGGTCTATAACAGTACCGTCCTCAATCGACACAGACGGAGTTAATTTAACATTATCATAACCATGGTATTTCAGAACCCATAACCAGAGTTAAGAAGAGCAAGGTAAACCTGTTTCTCACGAACGATTAAATCATCATTTGACTTCTATCGAAGTCTAAGTATTACTAAGCATCAAAGGTATAGACCTACATACTAGTGGGGTTACAAGGAAGATATTTGAATTAATCAAGGTAGTCATGCAACAATTGGTTAAAACCCAACTCCTATTTACCTAATGCACATTTTATTGGACTCAATTGATAATAGCATTTGTAAACAACAAGAAAGAGGGTTGTATGCTCTGGGGCTTGCCTTGGTTAGTAGAGGTGATAGGTTCTTCTGACGAACCACAAATGTCGAACCCAACTTCCACCGATGGTTGTCCTTCCTCCGAAACTTGTTCAACGGCACCTACCTCACTTTCGGTCACTACACGTGATAAAAGATGCATGCTTGATATGATGATATGCTAATCATGATGCATGATGAAAGGTACACAAGTACCTATATGAGCTCAAACATAGTTAACAAACTTGAGTACAACTTTCCTTTACGGTGTAACTAGGGTTTGTTTATTATAAAAACATTGTAGTTAATTAACTATCAAGTTAAATAGTTTCCTATCATGAAAGTAATAGCACTAACATGGTCCAGCAAGTGATTAACATCTAACTAACTCATGATCATATAAGGAATTCATAAAACTAAACTAAATATTAAATAAACCATTTTAATTTATTATATAAACAAGTTGATTCAAAGCATATTAAACAAGTAATTAACTTGCCAAGGAACAAGGTGATGAGGACATCACTACTTTATCGCATACAAGTCAAGGAGAGGAGGAGGTCCAGCATGGGCATCCAATTCATCTTTTCCATGGTGGAGGCCCAGTCCAACTAAAGTTGGAGCCCATCTCGGGTTCTAGGACTAGTTTGCCTTAAACTGGTCACCAAGGATGCATCCGGACTCCGTTTTCGACGATCCACATATGGATGGAAAGCTAATTTGATAAGGAAGACAATCCAAGTGCTCTCACATCAAAAGCTGTTCGAATCAATGGGAATCGTGGTCACAAGTCAGCGCCCAGAATCTACCAGGGTGCTGCGACACCGTAATTTGGTCCGTTGGACCGTGTATCGTGTTTGGGCCCATTAGGGGGCACGTCCAGGGGGGTGACGCCCAAGACTTTATATTTATCAGCCGTCGCACTCCTTAGGGTTTGGGGGTTTTGTTTAGTTCTTGATTTCCTCATGAAGCAGATGTCGTTTTGCTGCAACTGTCGCCGCCAAGGCCGCTTGCTGTGATCCAGGGCTCCAGTTCTTGATCTTGTTCGCCTGTGGCAATTAGTCCTTTCGAATAAAGACTTGAACTCCTTCTTGTTTTCATAAGCCTCATATTTACTTGCAATTTCAGATTGCGTTCATCCCGTTCTTGCTTGTGTTCTCGATTCGCTTGCAAGAAAGCCTTCTCGGTGAGGTCAATCGCGTTCGCGTGGTTGATAACCAAC